TTGTCATTCTCTATACAGAATGAAAAGGAGAGACTGATTTTAAATTTAGTTTTAAGTTTAGAGAATCACGCCAGAATTGACACCACTAAATAAATCAACAATAATTTTAAACAATGACGATTGTATCAGTACAACCGTGGGCTATATCGTTCCAATTTCATTGAATCATTTTGAATTAAATTAATAGAAAAGAAAACATTAGAATATAGGGTAAACTCCCTAATTGTTGGCACTTTAAGAGTAGGTTCCATGTCAGTCAGACATTAAATTACCATAAAATCACATCTAAATGAGTTAGTACACAACACATGTAACAGTATCAAGGAAATATAGTTCAATCTTTGTTTTCATAATAGTACAGTCAATGAAAGCAAAAATCAGCTATAACCTCCGATTTCGATGAACCTCCATCGATTTTCATGAAAAATGGTGATGAGGTGGGGGATACCATATGAAACAAATGTGACATAGTGCCAACTTGCGCTTTTTCCCTAGGGGTAGATACCACCCCTTCTCGGGGGTAAAAATTATTTTAATAAAAATAACTCCAGGAATCGATTGAAAGACAAACTCTATGCAAAAGTTGTTATATTATGTTTTCGAAATAAATCAATACTTTCTGAGTTAATAATGATCAAAGACTGTGATTTTGCGTCAAAAAATTCATGTTTTAAGCGGGTTTTCATAAATATTTCAAAAGCTATGAGTTTAAAGAAAAATATATTATTACTAGACGCAACGAATATTCGGTTACTATTCGGTATTCGGCCTATTCGGCTGCTTTTATTATATTCGGCCGAATACCGAATACCTACATATTATTTGGCCGAATACCGAATACTTAAATAATATATTTTGTCATAGAGAAATAATTGGTAAAATGAAAATTAATATCGATTGATTACGTAGGTATATATTCATATTTTCATTTCTGTTATATATAATCATTAAAGTAGCCATTGGTACATAATCATCTTCTGAATTGGAAAAATGGAGGATTCTATGTATTTGAATTATTGTGGTAATCAAAATTTAAAAGGGTAAGGTTCTCATTTCTTTTATAATCATTTATTAAGTAGTCATTGGTACATAAAACAGGAACATATTTCAATTATTTTCTGTATTAAACAAGTTAAGAATTTTTCTATGCATTTGAATTATTTTCATAATCAAAATTTAGAAGGGGAAGGTTATGGTGCAGAAAGACTAAATTTTCTGCATTTTTAGCTTCAGAGTAAAGGCGCTCTGAATAAACACTACTTCCTGGCGCCGACAAATATTTTGCTGCAATCTTAATCAAACACGGAAATTCAATTTTTCTTGCTACGACCATGTATATGGGTTGTCATGACGTGATATATTACTAATATTTAAGAAAAGATCCATTTCTGTTGAAACTGCGTTTGACTGAATTGCACTGCAAACAAAGGGGCGCGAAACAATCACGTTTGTACAAGTTTTGACGTGACAACGTCTTAAATTAGGTTGCGGCTGGGAGTCACTTATGAAAAAGTGTAACGCTCGGTAACGTTACGATGAGTCTCTCGTGTTAAGTTTAAGTTTACATGTACAATGTTTTAGTAAACAAAATATATTTCTATAGTTAAAATTTGTGCAATTCTTATTTTCATTCAATTCCTTGTTCCTATTGTGCAATTTAATTATATTCATATCAATAAATATTCTACCGAGAAAAAGACGTTGTCACGTAAAATCTTCGCCCGTAAAACCGACTTTACAGGCAACCATTTTTTTTAGCGCTAAAATCCAGCCGAATACTTTTGCCTAATATTCAGCTAAATATTCCGAATATTCGGTATACTGCCGAATATACTATTCGTTGCAAGTCTAATTATTACCAAAAGTGAATCTAATAAAAAAAACAAACACTTTCTTTGAAAAACCTTCTTATATGAATTCAAAGTGAGCTATAGGTAATTGTATGTATATATTTTTTCGACGAGTACTTAAATCTAAGTTTCCAACCCTAAATAACGGGAAACCGATGCATTTTGATGAATGGTTGGAATTATTTTTCGTTTTTCCTAAAAAAAAAATAAGTGTTATCTTATTTTTATCATAACTTTTTCAATTTTGAAGCTATTAACTTTTTACAGTGCTCATTATAAAGGTATTTCTGAGGAATTTAAAAAGTGCTCCGGAAGTGTATGTCATAAATTCATCGGTTTCCCGTTATTTAGGTTTGAATACTTAGATTTTAGTACTTGCCGAAAAAAATATATGTACATACAATTACCTATAGCTCACTTTGAATTGAAATTAGAAGGTTTTTCAAAGTAGGCGTTTGTTTGTTTTTATATTAGCTTCAATTTTGGTACTATTTTTTTTTGTAAAGCTCATAGTTTTTGAGTTATTTATGAAAAACCGCTTAAACATGTATTTTTATCACGCAAAATCACAATATTTAATCTTTAATAACTCAGAAAGTATTGATTTATTCCGAAAACTTAATATAACAAATTTACTTAGAATATGTCTTTCTATCGATTCCTGGAGTTATTTTTATTAAAATAATTTTCACCCCCGAGAAGGGGTGGTATCTACTCTCAGGGCAAAAGTGCAAGTTGGCACTATGTCACTTTTGTTTCTTATGGTATTACCAATTTTCATGAAAATCGATGGCGGTTCGACAAAATCGGAGGTTGCAGCTGATTTTTGCCTTCATTGACTATACCATTATGAAAACAAAGATTAAACTACTTTCTTTGATACTGTTGCATGTGTAACATGTGTTGTGTACTAACTCATTTAGATGTGATTTTATGGTAATTTAATGTCTGACATGCTACCTACTCTTTAAGTGCCAACAATTAGGGAGTTTACCCTATATTCTAATGTTTTCTTTTCTATTAATTTAATTCAAAATGATTCAATGAAATTGGAACGATATAGCCCACGGTTGTACTGTTGTTGTACAATCGTCATTGTTTAAATTGATTTTTGATATATTTATTGTCTCTGGTAGGTACGATTGATTTTATTTTATAAATAAAAGTTTTTTTTTTGTCTTACAGCTTCAAATTTTATTTTTTCAAATAATACTTTGGAACAATGTTAGGAACAACTAGGACAACTTGGAACAACTAAAAAAATAATGAATTTCCAAACATGGGGGGCTATCTGAAAAACGATTTTTTTTTGTCTGACAGCTTCAAATTTGAGTTTTTTCAAATAATACTTTGGAACAATGTTAGGAACAACTAAAAAAATAATGAATTTCCAAACATGGGGGGCTATCTCAAAAACGGTTTTTTTTGCCTGACAACTTCAAATTTGAGTTTTTTCAAATAATACTTTGGAACAATGTTAAGAACAACTAGAACAACTTGGAACAACTAAAAAAGTATTGAATTTCAAAACATGGGGGGCTACCATAAAAACGTTTTTTTGTCTGGCAGCTTCAAATTTGAATATTTTCAAATAATACTTTGGAACAATGTTAGGAACAACTAGAACAACTTGGAACAACTAAAAAAATATTGAATTTCCCAACATGGGGGGCTACCATAAAAACGTTTTTTTTGTCTGGCAGCTTCAAATTTGAGTTTTTTCAAATAATACTTTGGAACAATGTTCGGAACAACTAGAACAACTTGGAACAACTAAAAAAATATTGAATTTCCAAACATGGGGGGCTACCATAGAAAAACGGTTTTTCTTGTCTGGCAGCTTCAAATTTTAGTTTTTTCAAATAATACTTTGGAACAATGTAGAACAAACATAGAACAACCCAGAACAACCTAGATAATAATAAAATTCAAAAAGTGGGGGGCTTACTTCACAGAGGTAAGTTTCGGCCTTAAATGCGGGGAATTTAAGATTCGAAAAAAAATTATATAACTTGAATTGAGTGTAGCGAGACTATTTATTTACGACTTTTAAGTGATGTGAAATAAAATTGTAAAAATAATATCAATAAAATGGTTTTTTGTTTTTTTATTATTATCAAGTTGCGGGTTAAATAACTAACAGTTATAAAAATAAGTTTTTTTAATCTATATAATTTTGATCTTTTGTCTTTACTTTGGGACAATCTAAAAATCAATTTGGAGTTTTATTTGGCGGGATTTTATCAAGTGCGGTTGGCGTTTCATTTGAATTATACTTTTATCGTTTATAGTGAATACTGTAAATGATGATGAAAAATTGATGTGATTTTGTGTTACAATCGTCTGCAGAACTGAAGAATTAATGGAGTCTTTAAAATAAATAAATAAATATTACCAACACTCACACCAATTAGCCTAGCCCCAAAGTAAGCACTGTAAGGGTGCGGCCAGATTCAGATTCAGATTCAGATTCTGAAAACAAGGGCGAGAAATAAACAGTGTAGTCGAAGGGTACGGCCAGAGTGCACTCCTGATTCAGATTCAGATTCAGACTCAGAAAAGAAAAAACGAGAAAAAGCAGGCAACCTGCTTAGACTACACTGTTTATTTCTCGCGCTTGTTTTCAGAATCTGAATCTGAATCTGAGTGCACTCTGGCCGCACCCTAAGGCTTCTGTTATGGGATACTAGGGTAACGGATAGAATACATATACAGTACATATATAAGTATGTTTATATAAAAATACATATTAAACATCCATGACTGGAGTACAAATGCTCGTATTCATGGTACAAACATCTCCCCCACCGGAACTCGAACCCGGGACCTTTCGAGTAGGCGACACCTTGAAACTCGGCGTACAAACCACTCGGCCACGGAGGTCGTCGAAAATATTAGCTAATAAGTCTTTAAAATATACGCTATACTGGTCAAGTGGACGTGAGAACTTTATTTTAGTGTTGAGTATCTCACAGAAGCTTATCGAGAATGCTGATACGATACATTTCAAGCCAAATACTTCAAAAAACATTAGAATGCGTCACATCTAAATTCTATTGCAAGAAAAACTAACAAATAGAAGATTAGGCTGTGTGGGCATGTTCTCTTTGCCTTCCTTAAAAAAAAGGACGTTAATAAATGATTTTGACATCTTGACCGATCTTGACGTCTTGGTAGCATCCGAAAAGATTATTGATATTTTTCTTTTCGAGTTGTGTTTGGGTTGGGTGAAAATTAGGTTTTCTTATTCACTCTTGGCGGTAGATCTTTCTGTTATTTAGCAAAAGGGACTTAATATTAATATGGCATTAAATTAAACAATATGTGTTTTGCTTGCGTGTTTTATCTGTCGAAATGCTATCACAGTCGTAGTTATTAAATGTTCGTTACGTGGGCTCTTTTGAGCATAATTAACAACCAACCACAATGCCAGTACAGCAGATAAGTGTGAAAAATTCGTCGGATATTGAGAGTTGGGAATGGGGTGGTGGATGTGGCAGGGAAGCAATACGCGCAGGGTCGGGAAGCAGCCATACCTCTTGCAGCAACTCTAGTGGAGATATCTGCCGCATTTGTCATTGCGAGAGCGAAGCACACAATCCCTTACTTGCGCCCTGTTATTGTTCAGGTATAGCCATAAAAATAAATCAGAAGATTCTTTTATACGATCTAAGGCCTAAGGGAATTGTTTTTTAATTCCCGATAATGTTATGCATTATGAATGGTGGAGAAGAATTTTATTACCAAAATAATAAAATGTGTGTCTTTTTAGTGATTATGTAATTACTGTTTGGTTAATGTTAGACTTGTGTTAAGCAAGTGATAATTGATTCAATAATAAACAATTATAACATAACCAACCAATCAACAGTTAGTAACAAGCAACTCACTTTGATAATGATTAACCATATATGATATTATTCATATTTCCTAAATAAGATAACTTATCTGGTAATATGCCATTCTGAATGTTACTAAAACAAGCTAACCTGTTTTAACAACCTTACTTTAAAGGAGATTGCTCAGCTTCCATACATGTTTGGCCTAAAGAATCATGAAAAATTGTTTCCTAGATTCGAAATTATATATAAATTACTGTAGAAATGAATATTATTGACGGACACCCCTGAGAACTTCTATAAACCATATACACTGAACATATTAAAATAATAGAAAACAAATAAGTTATATAGTAAACTAGGGAATTCAAGCCAAGTACCGAAATTATGGATTAGATTCAGGTATATAGAGCATGTAGATTATCAGATAGTTGCCTGTTTTTAAAGTTAATGCATAAGAGTAACTTTTAAAATCAGGTGTCATTTCCGGTTATAGTAAGGTACTCTGTGACAGAAACTGTGTGATGATTATGTGATGATTGTGAATGAGCCACAGATTAGAGAGAATTTTTAAACTCTCGTTAACCAAAGAAAGCTAAGAGATTTAGAGGTTCTATAGCCATATATTCAGTAGCTTCATTATTTTTGTTATGTTTTTAACATAACCATATTTTAGATTTTTAGTGTATCACGCCTTATAATTTTATTTATTTATAGTCAGGGAACATAGGCCCATAGATAGATACCTTAAATTCTAACATATATACAGATTATAATGTGTTTATGGAGGTGTTTAGCGAAAAATGTATGGCAATAGACTTTATGATGTCGCCTACCATCTATAATAATTGTCTGAGCACATTTGCATCTAGTGAAAATTATAATATAGTTGTGGATATTAATACCACAGCAGTGTAATAAAAAAAATGATTTGGTTTTTCGATCTTTACAAAATAGATTTGTTTTTATGTTATATCTTCGATTAGTCTTTGGCTGAATGTCACTACACCCATAGCCATTAAAAATGATTCGTATGTTTTCCAAACCGGTAAAATTAAAATTCTTTTTTTAAGTAAATATATTATACAAAGGTGTCCGTTGAAATTTAATGACTGTAAATTAAATTATAAATTACGCCAAGAATTACCGTGCATGTCAATATTTTTTGTGCATTTAGGCCAATTTGAGCAATCTCCTTTATAAATACCATTAATGGACTAATAATGTGAAGTGTGAGTAGTAATAAAGGTTTTTGTTTTTGCATCTTAGTCTTCCAGTTGATATTGAATGGATATTACTGTAAATGTTTTACACAATTTCTATGAATATTCTCAAATATACAAGATATATTAAAAGAAAAATATTATTGGTAAATAAAAATAATATTTATAAACAGTAATTTTTTTCACAGCTCTAATAAAATTGTATGTCGTTATGCTTTGTAATCATTATAATTTGTTATTTATTGCAGGTAGTCTTAAATATGTACATCAGAGTTGCCTTCAGCAGTGGCTTACAGCATCAGAAACAAGATCCTGTGAGCTTTGTAAATTCAACTTTATTATGCACACAAAAATCAAGCCATTCAATGAGGTATGAACTTATTTTGCCATTGTAATAATTTAGTTTTATGAACTTAAAGCTCATTCTCATACATATATATATCTCATAGCACATGATGTTTGTACCTACAGAAAAAGGCAAGCACTGTTTTGATATTGTTTTGGAGCCAATATCAAATTACAATTTATTCTTGGATTGTAAGACATAGAATTCACAAGTTCAGGTTTTTAACTCAGAAACTCTGAGTAAAATGACCGTCAAATCACATTTGCACTAAATTTGATGAGATGAGCTCCAAGTAGTTTGTACACCAAGTTTCAAGGTGTCGGGTTCAAATCCTGGTGGGGGCAGATGTTTGTGTGATGAATATGAGCATTTGTACTCCAGTCATGGATATTTAATATGTATTTATACATATATATATTTATATATATGAGGAGCTGGTGAACAAAACGGTATAATTACGCATCAGGTCAAACTACATTTTTTTACAGTCCAGAGGTTTTGGGCCCGTTGAATTTGAATCTCAAATAATTTTCAATCAAAACCCCGGAAAAAATATAAATTTAAAACCATGCCAAAAGCTCACTGTAGGTATGTCATTCAGTTTTGTACAGCTCCTGTAAAATTTAATTTTATGTAATTATACAGTTTTGTTTGCCAGCTCCTCATATATACTAGCCCAGTGTTGTCTTGTACTCTTGTTTGTTTCATGTTATTTCATAGAGCAGTGCTGTGTGAGGCAAGTCTCCTGTCGCAGCACTTCTGTATGAAATGACATGACTCTGCATGCGGAGCAGCTTCATGTTGCCGCTTAACATAGCACAGGGCCTCAGTGAGATCCTAAACTTGACTTAAGTTGGTACTGATTTTAAAATAAGAGGTAGACAATTGGTAGTTGAGAGGTTTGAGCTAAAAAACAGATAAAAAAGATGTCTTTGTACATTTACACTATTATGGATTATTTATGTGACTGGGTGTAGTGGAGGCTGCTGGAGATGTCCGGTGTGGAGCGACGTCGCCTGTGTTGTGCGGTGTTGTTCCACTGCGTCGCGGCCCTCTGCGTTATGTGGTCACTATTCGTCCTCATCGAGCGTGCGGTGGAAGAGGTGAACCGTGGCATGATAGGTAATAATAATAATATTTTTTTATTTTCTCATCACAATCTAAATAAGGCTTACATGAAGCAATGGTACAATGTAGCAGACTGTGGTGGGCTGATACATGAACTAGGAAAATTCCTGTATCCCAGGTTATCAACCCTCCACCCCAAACAATGGTCAGAAAACTTATGAATTGTAGGTAGTGAAAGGAAAGGAAAGGAAAGAAATGAAAGGTGAACACAATCTTAAAATTAATCTAATAATACAATTTAATTCGAGTGGTTTATACGCCGGGTTTTATGGTGTCGCCGACTCGAGAGGTCCCGGTTTCGAATCGTGCTGGGGGCAGCGTTTGTGTGATGAATACGAGCAGTATTTGTATTCCAGTCATGGATGTTTAATAAGTATTTCTATATAAATATACTTATATATGTATTCTATCCGTTACCCTAGTATCCCATAACACAGTGCTTCTATTGGGGCTAGGCTCATTGATATGAGTGTTGGAAATATTTATTTATTTAATGGATTGAAAGAATAGCGTTAACTAACTATGTATATTAACACACATTTACAAAAACATTCCCATAAAAAACAAGACACAAAATACATTGTCAACTAGGGCCCAGCCTTATTTATCACAATGTTGTAACAGCAAATGGATGGTTGATGCAGCATCATTTGTAGACCTAGACAAGAACATTGGCGTAGCATCAATGATGCTACGCCAATGTTCTTGTCTAGATATAGCAAAACTTTTTCTTTATCTGATATAGGAATAATGTTGTAGGTTGTTGATTATACATTTTGCCGTTTATATTCAGGCTGTTTGTTGTTTAATAGGATGGAACGATGTATTACTTTGCAATACGATACGGTTAAACAAAAGACATTCAACGACATTCAAGGTTGTTTGATAAGTCCACTTTTGTGTGTGTGTGTTTATCTGGTATAATCCAAACCCAAGTTATGACGGTTCAAAATAACGACGAAGCGCTTTGAGTAAAGGTAGGTAGTGCCCTTGCGCTTCGCTTGGCTCTTCTTTACCCGATACAACAAGGCGCCGAGTCACCATATGAATTTGACGTAAGAACTGAGGGCACGCTAACTGATTGGATTTTCTTTATTTGCAGTCACTCAGCAGAGCAAAAATTTCTGTACCTAGTACGACAAATTATCTTTTAAATATTACCATTCATCAAAATTATTTAAATTGGTCTGATACAGAAATATGGTAATTGAGGCATTTCATCTGATAGGCCACATTTGGTAAATTGTAGTGTTCAACAATTTCATCCTTTTGGGGATAATTTTTTAAAGGCCCTGCTAAATCTTTAAACGAAACCTACGTTTTCCACTGTGGCCTCCGAAGGGCACGCGTATGATAAAAACCACCAGTCGATAGGCCGATAGATATGTAATAAATACGACTAAATCTATAATGCAAAGTGATTACGACACAAACTTAAACACATCGTGGTGACCCTCGTATCAAATAATGTGTTTTACCAACTGTTAGTTTAGTGTAGGACGTAGTAATAAATGCAAACAAGCCATTAAACAAAGAAGAAAAACAAAAAGGTTATTTGTAACATATAAAAGCATTTTAGGAGCTCGATGGCGCAGGTGGTTAGCGCATTCGGCCTGCGATCGTGAATGTTAAACAACAACTTTCACAATGGTCAGTTATTGGATGGGTGACCAAAAACTTATTATGTCGAGCTCCTCCGTGTTTAGGAGGACACGTTAAGCCTTTGGTCCCCACTGTATTCGCAGTCGTTAGCATCCAACAATCCGGACTGGACCCGCGTTGCACCCGCGTAGTAAGTCACGGCCTAGTCTCCCTATTCCATCCATAGGTTATGCCCGTGCAGTGGCTCAGGCCCCAGGCAGGCCGGTAGTGGGGACCTTAATAGGCTGATGATGATATAAGAACATTATGTATACCTGTGATGGGGTCTAAATATTTATCTGGATACTCAGAGAATACCTCCAGTCCATGGATGGCAATAATTTTCGAAAATTTTCATTGATTATTTTTTGTGCATGTCAGTACGGGAAACTACACCTACAAATCATTACATTGTTTTCCTTGCAGTCCCAGATCAATATTTTTAGAATTGAGGCAAATATGTAATATGTATTAATCGACCAGGATGCCAGTAGTGTCATACGCGTGTTATCCATCTTACTCTTATCCCCTTATCCATTGGAGCTTTGGCAACTTTGCATGAATACTAAACTAATGAACTTTGTTGTGGTCTGAAGACGTAATATGTTAGATGAAATATAGTTCCTTAGTAGGTTTCAGTGTTTTTTTTTATTTTAAAAGGGTGGCAAACAAGCATGGCCCGCCTGATGGTAAGCGGCCTTCATAGCCTACAGTCGCTTGCGATATCAAAAATATCACTTGCGCCGTTGCCTACCTTAATCACCGACAGAAACACAATACCACCAAATGGTGGAGTTCTTTTACTGTGGTCTTTTGTAAGGTGGAGGCACTTCTCTAGACGGACGCTCCCATTCGAGCGGAAAATCCGCTGTGCGCTACCTCTCTTATGAAAAACAAAGTACTAATACCAGCAGACAAAACGCCTTCCTCCTCTTTTTGTTGAAAAAACAATTTTCCACATGATGACAGGCCCTAAATTTGACGACGGTTATAGAATCTGTAGAACAATAAAATTGAATTACACAACAATGTTTCAGCCTTATTATCTCAACATCGAGACGTGTGATTTTCTCATTAAAGTCACGGATGTGTGTTTTAGTATGATAACAATGGAAACGATTACGCGACATTAAAAGGTTTCTTAACAATGTCATTTCAAAGTATGGTCTGTAGTTTTCCAATAGTTGACACTTTTGTAAGTGCATTATTTTATATGAATGTCATATATGGAAATATTTTTTAACGTATTTCTTGATGGTATTTAGGGAACTTCTCGTAACAAGACATGCTGGAGTACTGTTCTCATCTTTGGGCCGTGGCACCCAGTACCAGCTCTCCCGCTGAATCGCATCCAGCGCCGAGTGGTTCAAATAGTCGACGGCCAGAACCTTTCCGATAAGCGTTGATCCTTTGGCTTTGCGTAAGCATATAGCTTTGCTCTGCATCTTCTATTCCATTAATCATGGGGATGGTTCAGAAGAATTGTACGGATTTATTCCAGCTGCTGCTTTTCGCCATGGTGCAGCGCGAAAAAAATTTCATCCCTATCATCTTGAGGCTATTCAGAACAGTGCGATTGAATCATTATTTTTTACCACGTACAAAACTGTGGAATACATTGTCACCAGCAGTATTATCGGACCAATACGACTCGAAAATCTTAAAAATAAAGCGTACTCCAAATTTTTAAAGGCGGGCATTGCGTTTGTGATACTCCTGGTGTTGCAGCCTGTTCCAGGCAGGTTTACCAAGTAGGAATTTCAAAAGTCCTGTCAATAATCCTGACATTTTGAAAAAGTTCGGACTTTTTAGTCTGAAAATGGTACCATTTCTCAATGGTATGGTGTTTTACTCAATATGTACTTTTATTATTCATATGCAAAGTAATTTAAAAAATCCGGACCGGAAGTCAGGATTATTGTCGAAGGTCGGACTAATCCGGATGGATGGTAACCCTAGTTGAGGGGTGTCTATGGGCGACGGTGATCACTTACCATCAGGTGAGCCGTCTGCTCGTATACCTTATTATATAAAAAAACCGAAGGTAAGCGGCCTAGCGGTGAAAGTAAAAAAATAAATATACTACATACACATCGATCAGAACGATTGGGGTAGCCAGAGAGAAAAGTAGTGCGATTCAATAAAATAAATTCATGTAAAGAACTACAATAAAATTGAAACACTTGGTCTGCGCTTTCACGGCAAAAACGTCGCCATTCCTTTTATGTCCTTCTCTTCAGGGCACAACACTGGAGCTAGAGAGCAGTATCACCATGCTCGGTATGGAGATTCGCTGTGACTTAAATCCAAGGAATTACATGGAAAGAAGGAAGGCCTCACGCAAACTCGGAGTCCTGAACAAGGTGCGGCGTTTTTTCACGCCCGAGCAACAACTATGCTTGTTATATAAGACGCAGGTGCGGTCTTGCGTGGAATATTGCTCGCACCTCTGGGATGGCTCCGCCAAGTACCTGCTCGATGCTTTGGATAGGTTACAACGGCGCGCAATCCGTATCATAGGCGATGAGGAGGTGACTAAACACCTCGAGCCTCTTCAATTACGCCGTGACGTGGCGTCACTAAGCGCGTACTATCGTCTGTACCACGGCGAGTGTTCTGAGGAGTTATTCTCTCTTATTCTACCTTCCCCTTTACTTCAGAGGACCACGCGCGCTGGCTTACGTTGTCACCGTCTAACTGTGGCTACAATTCCAACGCGTACAAAGAAATTTGGTGACTCATTTCTTTGTCGTACTATCCGTAAATGGAATGCTCTGCTCGCTCACGTGTACCCTCCCTCTTACAACCTGGGCTTAAAAGAGGCGTGAAGAAGCAACATGCAGGCCGGCAGGGTGAGGATGACTGGTGTGGCAGGTAGAATTGCTAGAGTGGGGTAGAGTCATTTGTCGTCAAACACAGACTAACTTTTTTGTGGTAATTAGGTCATTGTCGAGCTGGATTGTTCCAATTTTAGACATTAGTTTAAAATGCAATACGTCATTACACCACAAAAGTCTCATTACTTGAAGCAGCAAGTTATTAATGGGTATTTGTTTCTTAGGTTTTCACTCATACCACTCATTAACTAAAACAAGTTCCAACGGCACAGATTCGCTGATTTATTTGTTTCTCGGCGTTTCGCATCCTTTTCAGGCTGCGTCGTCAGAATTATATATTTGCAGTCAGAATTAGGGATTTCTGAATTGAAAAAATATTGGAATATATAACATAATCAAGCACGGCCCATACACACATCTTTCGCGTATTTAGCATTCGTAACTTTTTTCATACAACCTTGCTGGCCCCTTTTTGCAGCTGTTGATATCGATTACCTTTAGAACACGATCATTTCGATCGTGATAGATCAGTCTTGGTCTTCCTCGGCTTACTACAGTACATCCTCCCAGTTTCGTGTCGTATATCTAATGTTCTTTCATTCCGGCGTTCGACTATCTTTTCATATGTCAAGTAGTGAAGACACAATCTGAATGCGATATAGTTAACTGCGGAAGCGGAAAGGGCAGGACCGTTGTGTGAACAAATCCCTATGTCCAGCAGTGGACGCCCATCGGCTGATAATGTTAATTAACTACTAGCTGTCAAAAATTCATTTATGCTGGAAATATGATCGACTTGACTATATTTTAAAATTAAGTCTTTGATAAAATAATGCGTTGATTTATATTACACACGCACACTCCAATACACACACACACGCACATACGCACGTACTTAATGTTAAAGGAAACGTAAATTGTCATTATTATTATTATTATGTTTTTGGGGTTCCGTACATAAAAAGGAAAAAACGGAACCCTTATAGGATCACTTTATTGTCCGTCTGTCCGTCCGTCCGTCCGTCTGCCAAGACCGTTTTTCTCAGGAACGCGTGGGGGTATCAAACTGAAATTCATATCTAATACTCATGTCTACTGTCCCTTGGAGCTGTGAAAAAATCAAATTTCTAAGCCGAAGCAATCAAAAGATATAACCGTTTATGCCGCAAATTTTCGAAACACACGGGTATTCCCGTGAACTTGAACCTTGAAAGGACAATGCCCATACCCCGTACCATATTGCGTCATAGATATATTTACACCAAAAAAATGAATTATAATTAAGTGTATTATGTATTGACTTTTAACCGATTTTTTAACCACATTTAAAAAATATATATAAATGATGCTAAATAATTGCAATTACTTACTTCCACAAAAAATTACGTATCCGTAAGTCAAAATTTCATTTCCGAAATCTTGCACGTTCCGATAACAGTTGTCTGTTATTTCCGAGGTGTAACAATGAACATAAAAATCTTTGTTCGAATTATAAGCATTAGCCATTGTTTAAGTAAATAAGATTTTAAAGTATAAAATAAAATATGTAAAGGAATCACATAATTTTATTTTATCTCACCATTTCATAAAGTAAAATTGCGTATTTTCGAAACTCAAAATATACATTCATGGCGATTCGGAACGCTTAATTACGGCACTGCCAGTGTCAATGTGAATTTCGTTTTTGTTGTGATGATGTTTGTTTTGTTTGTTTGATCGACGTTATTCTTGCTGCGTTTGAGTCGATTTAATAGTTTTATCGTTTGATTAATTCACCACGTCTATAATAATTATTGACAGTGACGAGATAGTGACTCTTTTTTGTGGATTATCGAGATAGTGACTTTGAAGTGCCGTGTCGAGACAGTGACTCTGTAGACGCCAGCCGACGTTGAAATTACAATAACATTGCTCAGGGTTCCCAACTTAGGGGTTTTTTGTCCCCCAGATTTAGGGGCTAGAAGGGTTAAAACGGACTTTTTTAGGAGCTGGAATTTTTTGGGGGTTCTTTTAGGGGCTTTTAACAAAACTTTCAATTAAATCGAAAAACAAAGCGTGTGTTTTCTTTCAGTTTTGTGCGTAGAATGGAACGCACCACGATATGAACCGACTGAACTCACTGTGTGGCAGGTTGTTTCCTAAGGCTGTATGGACTAAAGTTCTTTGCCTTCCACCAATCAAAACAGCTAAATAAGATTTAACAGCCTGTCAGCTCATTTTCGTTTGATTTTCCATTCGCAAAATGTATTTATTCAATAAAATAATTTACTGTAACTAAATATGTAACGTTTTAATTTATGAGCAACGAAAGAATTTAGGTAAGAAGATAAGTAGGTACATATAAATTTCTATATTTAGGGGATTTTAGGGGAATTTAAAAAATACTTAGGGTAAAATTTTGGTAAGGGTTGGTAACACTGACATTGCTAACCTAATTATAATTTAACTAGTGATACTATAATATCACGGTTCTTACAATGCACAGGTAGCGACATCTTTAATAACCACGCTGATTCAAAATTACTAAAATGTTATCATCAAACGTTTTCCAGCTTATGTAATTTTTTTCTAAAATGTGGTTAAACATTGACAAAATATTTTTGATAGTAAAAAGTTAGATAAAAACTAAACTCTTGAGAGTAAATTTGTTTTGATGCAAGTTGATATGGATCTCCTAAGAAAAATAGGCATTGTCCTTTGGTATGAAGTAACGTCTTATAGTACGATAAAGGAAAAATTGCGAAAACCGTAAATTTTTAGTGACATCATATAATAAAAAATATTTCTGAAATTTTTGAAGTTACTGCCTCTTTTCTCATGAACGCGTAGAGGTATTAAATTGAGTTTGTACGGAACCCTCGGTGCGCAAGTCCGACTTACACTTGGCCGGTTTTTTATATATAAAAGTGATTTGGCGGCGTAATGATTATATAATTTGTGTCATCAGCGTGGCCTTTCTGGACGAAGTTGGTAGTGGTAGCGGTGGGATTCACCGGAGGAGCAGTGTTTATGTACATACAGTGCCGACAGTACCTGCATCTGTGCAACCGCTGGCGGGCACATAACAGGTTGGTTCCCAAGATCTTACTAGTATTTATAAATGTAAAAATTTGTTACTCAATCAGGCGAAAACTAATGCACTGATTTGTTATGACCTGGATTTAGACATAGGATACTTTTTATCCTGAAAATTTGTTAGGTTCCTGTGGGATTCTTAAAAAACTAAAGTAAATGCAGACGAAGTCACAGGCCGGCGCTAGTTTAATTAAATTAGACATTTGTTGCACCTGGAGCGCAGGTTTGGAACGCAGCGCAGCCCATGTGTATCGGAATTTGTTGGTTTTCCTTGTAACTTTGACAGCTGTCTCGATTTGTCGTTAAGTCGTTATGGTCCATTCCTCCCGTTCGGTTCTGCGCCTCTGGCGGGATAAATTGGCAGTGTCCTCCCCCATTATTATAATATTTCGTTTGACAGAATACTGTTGATACAAAACGCGCCCGAGAAACTGGCGATGGGTTCGCCGCCCGCGCGTCGTCGACGCGAGCGCAGCACCCGCGGCCAAGTGGTGGCCAGTGTGGAGCCGGCGCCTCCGCCCGCCGCCTTCCACGAGGAGGATGAGAGTGGCGGCTTCGACACATACCGGCCCAACCCGCACCGCCGTCTGTCCGCGCGCCCCGACGGTAAGTCTGTCTCACCAACGTGTCTATAGATAGTAACACTGGCTATAGTTCCCCCGCCCGCCGCCTTCCACGTGCAGGACGAGAGTGGCGGCTTCGACACGTACTGGCCCAACCCGCACCGCCGTCTGTCCGCGCGCCCCGACGGTAAGTCTGTCTCTCCTGTCTTACTGTCTATAGACAGTAAGACTGGCATAGTTCCTGGATTTTTGAAATCAAATCAAATTAAAAGTCAGTAACGAATGCCCCTCACCCTGCAGCTCAGCAGCACGGTAAATGCATCCTTGAGTTTGCCGCGAATTAAATAGGTAGGTACCAGATTTGGCAGCGGGGTGGTCCTTGTCGGAACATTTTTGATGAGAATCTTTCAATTTTGTTTGACGGTCGCGCATTGGATTTCAACTATTTGAGGGCCGTTTATGGCCCGCGAGTCGTAGTTTGCCTATCCCTGTCTTAGTATTAACGACGCACTTAATAATAAGTAACACTGGCTATGTGTTTGACCCGCCCAACCAGCACCGCCGTCTGTCCGCGTGCCCCGACGGTATATGCCATTAATAGACAATATTACGTTGTGGTAAACGTGGAGTAAGGAGCTCGATGGCGCAAGTGGTTAACGCGTTCGGCTGCTTTCGTTGAAGTTAAGCAACACTCGCAATTAGCGGTTATAGGATGGGGGACCAAAAAATTACTACCTAGAGCTCCTATATTTCAAGCAGTTTTTAAAAATAATTCAGAAATAAATAAACTGAATTCGTCTTGATAGTAATTCTTTAACCCATTTGGCGCCGCTGTACTTGATTGGGTACAGTAAACAATTGAGGGTAGATATGAGTTTTTTAGGAATAGTTGTAGTTACCGTTCGCTATAGTAGGAGATAGAAATAGTGCTTCGGAATTAAAAACAGTTTAAGTGGATATCTTTTTAAAATCTATTACTCTGAGGATTGTAACTTTGCAGTTTAATTGTTTAAAGAAGTAAGTTCATCATATAATTACTATCAAGGGTTTAGCATATGCAAAAAAAAATGGTGTTTATAATTTTTGTATTACATATACTAATGTATAAATTAACTAATAAACCAGTACTTTCCATTATATATTTGCATAAAAATTATGCTTTAAACAGTACTGTACCTGATTGAGTACAGTGGCTTAATCCATGTAACGAACACACGTCCTTTGTTTCAGGTTTTAGTAATAATGACCACTTTTCGCTGTCTTTCGTTAGGTAGGCGACGGCAGCGTATGCTTCTTCAGAGGCATCAACGATTGCAGTTTGAACTGTATCATATTCGAGAAGCTGTTGCACCTGGGTATAGCAAAAGTCTTGCATGCCTTTCAGTCTTGCAAGCTTTTGCAACCATACAAGCCAAGCTTTATTAATTGTTTCGTCAATTCTGTCATCCTATTTGATGGAGCTACGCCAGACTTGAAGCATTATCTTGCCGTTGATCAATAAGGGACATAAGATGTCTAATGGGTCAAATATAGACATCGCAATTTCATCTCGACATCTCGCGCTTTGTCGGACTTCGAAAACCGTCGCTGATCACACTACCACTACTATTTTCTTCAATTCGAGATCAAAGGCTAGGCTGACTGGAACTGGTTTCCAAATTAGACCTAATGCTGTTGTATCAAGCTGACTGGCACGCTAGTGTCTTGGCGGAGTAAACCGTTCGGTATATTAGAAGCCCGATTCGTAATGTCAAAACCTCCCTCCTTGTGAATCATGATCACGTCATTCACCAGCTGCTTCATCTCCTCCTCGTTGTCCACGGAGTCAAGGTAATCGTCAACGTAATGCCTTTCCTATATGGTTTCGACCGCTCGTCGATGGGATGTAGCAAAATCGTCTGCATTTCGACGGATTATGAAGGTAGCAGTGCACGGAGACGAAGTGCCACTGAAGTTCATAGAGGTCATCATATATACTTTCGCTGGCCTCGCCAAAGAAAGCATTGAGCCTTTTGATCATCAGAATTGCAAAAACATTTCTCTGACGTCTCCAGTAACAGTCACTTTTTTCTCTCTGAATCTAAGCATAGCACCAAGTAAGGAGTTTAATAGGTCTGGACTAGAAAAAAGCTCAGTGTTCAAAGAGATCCCTTGGGTTTGCGCTTGCGCGTCTTAGTTTTCCAGGTTTATTAAAGTTGCGAACGCTAAAGTGAGGAAGATACCAGACTCGTTGGCCAACTGGTGCATTACAAGTTTTTTCTGGCATAATCTTTCTCCAGCATATTATCTACTTGCTTCGTATAATCTGCTGCGAATTTGGGGTCCATCATCTTCTCAATCACGCGTAATCGACTTTCGGCGTATCTCATATTGTTGGGAAGTTCGACTTCATCACTCCTCCATAGTAAAGCGGACTCCCAGCGGCCATCGATTCTCCTTGATTTCGTATCGAGGATGTGAAGTGCTCATCGATCTTGCGGAGAGTATGCTGCTCGGTTGCTTCGAATTTTCAATACCGATGCTGCCGAATTTAAAGTAGTTTTCTACAAGGAGGTGAAGTTCATCATCCCTTTCCGACTGAATGTGTAAATTAAACTCAGGTATAATTTGCCTTAAAATCGCGGAGAACCCATGAAGGACCCACCTGAGTTCGGTTAAAGAAGCGACGGGTTCATTCTTCTTGCCGTCTCTAATTTCTCGGTTAATAATCATGTGCCAATAATCTTGGCCGATCAGAACTGTCGGCAGCCTTTATTGGAAGAGATCTGAGATGATCGTACTGTGAAATAATGCTCTTGTCCATCGAATATTTCGGTAGGGTCAAGTCCACGGTACGAACTTGCTCTAAGTCGAAAACCCCGGTTTCTGTTACAATCTTCAGTGGCGCGATCTGACTTTTCAAAATACCGTGACTCCCAACGGCGCCTTGTAGTGACAACATAGCGTCGTGACCTCAGGCGCCTATTTTCCCCGCGACATCACTGTCCACTAACGAGACAGGGGATCGTTCATTAAGTAGGGCGTAGGTGTCGCAGCTACCCTCAGGACCTAAGACAGTCACAGGTAGCACCTTCAGGAACCTTCCTACCTGCTGACCAAATGTTTGCAGTACTCTTTGGGTCATTCTTCTCCTCAGTTTTCTTCCTCGTCCAGTCGGTGCGGTAGAGCCGCTTATGATGACTGCCTTTGCAAGTGGGACATTGCTTGATTTTTGATTTGCACCTATCCCGACGATGAGTAAGTAGCCTTTAAGCATCAGAAGCATAGTCGGTGCTTGAAGATCCATTCCCAGCTTTGATTGACGTCCTGTTCTTTGAATTTCCCACTGGCATTATCTGATGGCCCGTATTGTCACAGAATACGCAACTTGCTTGTCGTCTGGGTTCCGTCGCCCTGCTCGCCAAATTAACTTTATCGGTGGTCTTCTCGTCCGCGTTCATCGCCAATATCGTTCGCTTGCAGGAAATCGGCTTGTTGAATTTCGATGCTTTAATTCCTCCCCTCCTGCATACCTCATGAGGTTCATGAATCAGGTACTTGGCCAGAACAGGTAGCTGAGGTTGGTAAGCAGTAAGATCTCGGCTGTCTAGAATCTAGCCATCGACTAAAATATCGGTTCAGTGAGTTTGCTGATAATCAAGCTATCAAGTCAGGACTTTATAAATATCCAATATGGCCGGTGGATTGGATAGCAGCAACGCAATTGTCAACTTCAGTCGCCCTGACAACCAGCTCCCACCGAACGCCAGAAACTTTCGGTACTCTCTAACATTTTGTTTTTTCAAAAGTGGCACCTTCCGAGACACTCTTCCGTGCAAGTTTGTCTCACATAGTCTCCGTCTAATTGTTCTTGCAGACACACCCTTCGACCCTCCTGCACCAAACAACTCCGGACGTATCAGTTCTGATCCCTTGATCGGATCTATTTTTGCCAACAACACCATCTTAGAGTCTTCCCGCAGAGTAGTTTTTCCTGGTCTCGGTTTTCTTGGTACGTTTTCAGTCGTTTTGAACTTTTTGAAATGTTTTATAGCATTCATAACCATGTTCTTAGAACAGTTCAAGTGGTTTGCTATTTTTCTGTATGACCAATCTTTATTATGAATGTTGAAAATAATCTTCCTAGTGGGCGAATCGCAACTCTTGTTTTTTCCCATATTGCTGGGTTTAAAACGTATTCATTTTAATTAAAAAAATAGGTTTTATATGTAATATCGACGTTTCATGAAAATACGCGGCAAAACAAAGAAAAACAGAATGCAGTTTTTTCTTCTTTTTTTTAAATTTTGAACACAGCTTTTAATGTCTTTAATTAGCTGGCCAGCTACAAGTACGTTAAAAAAGTTTGTGTTATGTTCCCATAGTGAGCAGTGTCTAAACTAACGAACACAACTATTTTTTGTCCCACATTGTAAGAATACAACGTTGTGTATAGTTTAATAATAATTACACTAGATTAAATACCAATTTTAGCTAATTTTAGTACCATAAGTAAGTTTTTTGTGGTCAATTAGGGAGTGTCTTTAATTATGTGACCACCACTGTATGTGTATGTGTAATATATACATGTATGTACATATACCATTTACTAGCTATAAGAGAAAGAAAATGTGCGCGCGCACTGAATTCTCTTGCTTATATCCCCCACTCAACTCCCGAACACACTTTTCGTAACGCGTAACGCATTCGCCAGCTTACCCCCAAAAGTCAAGAGTGCGTAAAGAAGTTTCACTTTAAAAATGCCACATAAAAAATGACACAATGTCGTTGTGTACAGACGGGCAGCTTCGTGTGGAACATGAAGAGACGCGGCGGTATTCCGACACGCGGCTAGTTCAAGCCGCCCCGCCGGATGAACCGCCCGCCTGTCCAGTTGAGGTAAGAAAATAATACTATATAGGATTTCATATAAAATCCACAAATTTTTTCCGCCTTATTACAAAACGTAGAGTCGTAGACTAAAGTTACACATGAGGTCCAAGCACGAAATAATTAAAAATAAATACTAGTACACAACACACACATACCCACACACATAGACGCACACACAGTATAACAAATACTCACAAGTTAATATTTCTGTTATTTTTTTAATTTAATAACACCAATTAGCCTAGCCCCAAAGTAAGCACTATAAGGCTTGTGTCATGGGATACTAGGGTAACGGATAGAATACATATACTGTACATATATAAGTATATTTATATAGAAATACATATTAAACTTCCATGACTGGAGTACAAATGCACGTATTCATCACACAAACATCTGCCCCCACCGGGATTCGAACCCTGCCCCCCTAGCATGAGCACCGCGATATGACATATCGCTCGTTTTTATCACGCCCAATTGTCAAATTACTATGAAGTTTGACATTTAGACGCGATAAAAAACGTAATATAATGTAAATTGTGGTGGTCATGCTAGGGGGACTGGACCTCTCGAGTCGGCGGCACCATGAAACCCGGCGTACAAACCACTCGGCCACGGAGGTCGACGAATTATTAGTAAGAGGTATCATTATCCACCTGATCCGGAGTCGGAGAGGCTGGTTATCTGTCATAAAGGTTCTCCTAGTGCAGAAGCCAGTCTCTTACATAGTTTACTTACTTTTCACCGTTATGTAATTCTATGTGAGAGAACAAATAAAGTAATTATAATTTTGACAGCTTCGTAAAGTATCGTAATAGTAATTTTTTTATAGATAAAGCTATTTTGTTATTACGTCCGATAGAGGTGCTGCTTATTTTTCATAGAAACTTTGACGATGCGATACGTTACGGAGCATTCAAAATCTCTTGCTTGGGCCTCTGGACTAAAATTGATGATGTCACTTGTTTGCTACAAAGAACACAGCGACAACATTAGGTTTAAACCAAGACTAACTTAAGTCCGCGTTTTATAAAAAGGCGGTTTGTATTTTACACACTACATTCTCAGACGCTCAAGTCAGTAGCTGAGAACCTTGTCCCCCACTTTTAAAATTTTATTATTATCCATGTTGTTCTGGATTGTTCTATGTTCTACAGTGTTCCCGAGTTTTATTTGTAAATAAAAATTTGAAGCTACTAGACAAATTTTTTTTTTTGTGGTAGTCCCCCATTTTTGGAAATTAAATATTTTTTTGGTTGTTCCAAGTTATTCTAGTTGTACCTTACGTTGTTTTATGAGGGCTACCATAAAAAAATATTTTTTAGTCTAGTAGCTTAAAATTTATGTTTTTATAAATAAACTGAAGCAATGTGGAACAAACATAGAACAATCCAGAACAACCTGGATAATAATAAAACTCAAAAAGTGGGGAGCTTACTTCCCTGAGCTCAATGAACAAGATAGTATCACAAACACAAATAAAAATAAGATCTTTTTAGATTATCAAATTTTTAATTTTAAGCATTTAACTGCTAGATGTTTAAATATGAAGGAATAGTGAAACTAGAGGAAATCCGACACGACCTTCGAGTTTTTGGTAGCATAGTTGGTTAGTGCGTCCGCCCGGATAGCGGAAGATGCGGGTTCGAATACCGTCTGGAACCTGGACCGAGTGGATTTTTTTCTATTGAATTATACTTTAGATTTAAAGATTATACTATAGGTTTGACTATACAGAATAAGTTCATAAGGTGCGTTAAGTTTTTGGTCCCGGAACATAGCTCAACTGGAAGTGTTAAGCCACCTTTTAATTCATTCAGATAAAACTAACTTATTCACACATATACTAAAAGATTTTTAACGTATCCCACGTTATAAAACATGATCGAAAACTTACATCCAACCTGGATGTAATTTTTCGATTTCCTAACTAATAGCAGTGTCATTGAGTTGTGGCTAACGACTCGACCTGTGATTATGACCTTGCCGCGCTTGCAGTGAGTGACAAAATGTACTAAAATCAACGAATTAGAAATAATATGGAAGTATTACTATCTAATACAGGCCGCTAACATATAGTTCCTAACTTATGCAACTAAACTACAATGCTAGCGCTACTCGCACACAAAATACTTCGACAAATCAAATATCTGCAAATGAATTTGGCTACCCATTCAATGGGTAAGATAATGTTGAACAGAAATCCCAACTAATCCTATGATCGGCGTGTTCATAGCATTTTTTCGCCCCACCTACTGGATCACAGTTTGCGTGTGACCACTTTTTCACAGTGCAGTTCATATTCCATATTATTAATAATTCGTTGCTAAAATTTTATAAACACACCACGAAGTGAAGCGTAACAGTGACGGAGCTAACGTGTTTGTGCTCATTGCTAAGTCAAAAATCGTGGCCGGGTAGTAAGAGAAAGTATTATAGTGCGATTCAAACTTATGGCAGATGTGAAGTTAGTTAGCAAGTTTCAGTTCAGTGACATTTAAATGTGTATGTAACATATCTTACATCATCCAACTTGTTTGTTCCGCGACTTACACTAGCTTCATAGCCGTTATTAAGTTTGACTAGCTTCACAGCCGCCGTTAAGTTGGAATCGCGCTCAAATCCCAATGATATTTGTTTCCCTCACCCTTAAGGTTACAGTAACCCGAATATGGCGTAACACTTTACATGGCGTAATTTCGCGTTGTTTCCTGTACCTACCCTTAGCACGAACTAATATCAAATTCGTTACATTTGCGAGTGCGAATAGTCATCGAGAAATTATGTACGGAAACTTGACCATCGCCACAACGGACGTTAAGAGAATTAAAAATCAGTATCACGAGCTTCTCGACGTTTGAAGCTCATCAAAATCGAATTAAATTGTTTGAATTCGATAGTGGTTCGTGCCAAGGGCGTTGCCAGCTTATGACTAAGGGCAATGGGGAGCAAAATGGGGCAAAGTCAATCGCTCGCACTTTGGTACTTTTGCGGCTAGCTACATTTGATTTATAGAGGGGGGGGGGGGCAGTTGCTGCCGCCCCCCGCCCCTCGGCGACACCCTTGGTTCGTGCTAAGGGACCCTTAATTAGACGAAATCCGTGATGGTATACATAAAAAAATCCACGTTGTATAGGTTACGTGTGAACGAGAACAGGGCGGAGTGTATCACATCAGCGTAGACCCGCTAGAGGCGGACATTCGCTCGTTGCTAGCCCTGGAGGCCAAGCGAGCGGCGAGAGCGGCCAAATCCTTACCCAACTTACGCGCTAGTAGGGAGAGTCTCCTCCCCCAACTACCCCCCGCTCCTTTACCCGCTTCAACACCCTCTCCCCCCTCCTGAGGCCCGCCCCCGCCCGCGCCGCTGCTTCTGTACCGCGACGACACCGTCTACTGAAATCCAATACTGTTGAGGACTCGATCGGTCCTCGGTCGGAGAGTAGAGCGAGCGACGCCGGGCCGCGTCTAGAACTGTAATTTTAATTATGTAATCACCTAAAGTTGTGTCTCGTTCATGGACGAATGCTAGGAATACGAAGTGTTTTTGTGCCGCGTCAAAATTATTCAGTTTTTATGGTGAAGCGTTTATGAAAGTGATTGTCGTGCCGGCAGCGCCAACACCGATGCAGGAAGGGCATTAGACGGTGACAGTCGAAGTATGTGTGACCTCAGAACTTGATTGACTTGTGTGTTTTTGTTTAAAATTTCAACGTAAGCCATTCCACCGATTTTATTAATCTACATTGTAACAGAAAACGTAATAGCTCGATAATAGAAATCTCATTAAAAATAGTGTTTTACACGTAATGTAAACTTACAAGTAGCGATGTGCTGAATATGTAATATAAGATGCGCGTTATGGTAAAGTGAAACTGATGATAAAAATTACAGTGAAATACTCGCTTTTGGGTATTTCGTAGACGTTTTACATGATTCAGCGTTATCGATGGCTGTCTTCCTATTACTGCCTGTGAAACAAAAGCAATTGGTAATAAAATGTTTGCTCTAAGATTATACTTATTAATAATACTGATAGCTTTTACTCCCATGTGTAAAAATTATCTTCGACTAAGATTGTAATTATACACTCTTGGAAATTGGTTGTTCTTCATAATGGAAAATAACTGTATGAACTACTAAAATTTAGTGCAAGCAATAGTCACTTTAAAGCTCATCGGCTCTTAGTGAAGGTAATTTTTACAGAATAATCAGAAAAGTAGTTTTAAACATCGGTAAAACAAAAAAAAACGGTTACAAGATTAAAAAATCAAATTTGCCTTATACAATGTTAGAGTTACCGATTTGCGATCTTCATTTTATGAAAGTACGAACCATAGTCGTTGAGTTCAGTCAATTTTCATTCTAAAATTATTCTGTATATCATTGTTTGCAAATCCTTGACTATATTTATAGCGCATTGAATTTTCGTCTTGAACTGTTACTATTTGGTAATAATTTTTCATCAAGTGTGGTTTCTATTGTAAAAACATGCTTTGTTATCGATATTCATCGTAAAAAAAAGTGTGCTTCCAGTATCACATTAATTGTATTTTAACCTAAGATTTAAAAATTTGCAACTATTTATCGAGCGAATAGCCAATAAGCTGCAATAGCACTTTTTTGAAAAACAAATCTGTACCTACTTGTTGCAAAATAATTACATGTAATCAATGTGAATAATAAATGTCTTCACTTCTTATTTCGATTTGGAATATAGGTATGTTTTTCTATATTATGCGTGCTTTCAAATCGATCTCAAGCGCTAAATTTCTAAAACTTTCATCGCCCACAAAGAGCACAAAGTGAAGAAGCGAATAGCATCCGTAAATTCGTCTATTGTCGCTGACATAAATCATCACGATCTAGATTAAATAAAAAAATATTGTATAATCCATGAGCTGTGCATTCAATCAATATTGTATATAGTAGTTTGATATGTACATAGATTATTTTGTTTTTATCTTGACAATGTCTCTCAACTCATCCTTACTGTTGTAAATAGTTATAACGCTTGATTCCCGGCACTATAGTCTTTTCCTCTTAGCATGTGTAGCGTTATGTTTCTATGTGTTGAGAACGGAAAATTCACCTTTATTGTAACGTTTATAATGCCGGCACATGGCTATTCGTGTTGGCTTTTTGTAATCATGCCATCAGTCTGTCCTTTTCGTACCTTGTATGATGTATATGAGTATGATAAGGACAGACTGATGTCAAAGTTACAAATAGAATACACGAAAAGCCAAGTGATGTTCGGGCATAAAATTAGTGGCATTTTTTACAAATCATAGAAAAAAATGGAAAAGACTAAAGTAATAAAACTTCCAATCTATAGCCTAATAAAATGAATTAATAACACACCCACCATTATAAACCCATAACGTGTGTCTACCTTTATGTTAAATATCAATAATGAAATATACTCAATAACAATAATGAGATTATATAGAAACGTATTTTTTATTGTATTAAATGTATATGACAGTGGGCTACGTTTGCAATGCACTTTCTGTTTTAAGGATAGAAAAATAATTTGTTGACTATCTCAAATAGTACATCGTGCAATTTTCACCTCAAGGATATAGTATCAAAGTTGTGCTAGATGGTCAATGGTTTTCCTTATTAATAATGCCTAAAAATATTATTGAATTCCAAGTTTTTTTCCTTTTTCTATCCATAGATACAGAATTTAGTACTTAACTAATTTTTATTTTAATGACCCTGGTAAGCCTCGAGCCCATTCATGTAAAGTTATAATTGACAATGCTTTAGAGTGAAAGAGATTTACAATAATCATTTTACTGTTGACATTTCTGTACTGTGTATTTGTTTGATGGAATTTGATAGTGCTTAAATCAAATGTACTAAAATAGGGCGGATCAAATGCAATATAACGGAGTTTTAATCTATATGACAGAGCATTTATTACAACAAATGCTGTCTAAACTACAATCATAGAATAAAGGATTCTTCCTTTTGGAAGTGTATTTTATACTATAAACTCAGAAAAAAACACAAATTGTGTATTCTGTACCGTCTTTGAGTTCGCTCCGCTCCTGTCTTAGCATCGCCGATATCGGATAGAGAGACAGCTTCCAATTTAATGACAATGAATCTTCAACTTTATTCTTAGTGACATACAGCTCAAATAAGTATAACGATAACGACGACCTCAAAAAGGCGTTTCAAATTTGAGAGGTGTGTAGTGTTTTTATTGAGGTTAATTTTAGACCGTCAGCGCTGGTATCTGCTGCTTTCATGTTAATTTTTAAATGGTGTCCTTCAGTGTAATATTTTATTATCGAATCTCCCTTTAATATATGGCTTTTTCATTAGCTCTCTTCAATTATGTAGTTATATACATCATTAAAAATAAAGCATTACGTCAATTTTCGGTTATTGTCATATTTTGTTTATGAAATATACGTAACTTAATGTGCAATAAATTTGGTATATATTCATGTCATGACATAATAACATGCTCAACTCTGTTAAAGTACCAATGACACGCATTTATTCGGCATTTTCAATTTGCCTCTTGAAAATTGGTTAATTTTATTAGTTTTAACTCTAGCTATTACAATTCTAAAATATCCTTTCAGTGTTATAGTTATACACACTTGGCTATGCGAAATTTTATATACATAGTTTAATCACCTTTTTTTTATGTTACTAATATTAACTTTGCTCACCCCACCGCCTTAAGGATTAATCTTGGTTTTACTTATTGTACAATAATTAAGACAATGGCGTCTTAATTATTGTTAACTGCTCCGATTTTTTATAAGGGTGTTCGTTGCGTCGAGTGGCTTCCGATTTGGTATTAGGAAAAGAAATATGCTTGTATTTTATACTGATAAAAGAAATAACTACTTCATATTGAAAATAATCATTGCACTATACTGTCCATACTCGTTCAATTACAGTTTGTATTTAAGTTTCATTTCGTTTGTAATCGTAATAAAATTCGTGTCTTATGTTAAGATAACGTGCTAGAAACAACACGTAAGCCTTATTACTGTTACAAATAATGTTGAGTTTTCTTTGACACAAACAATGTGAAAATTATATCTAGGTTTGTTTTTTTTTATAACGAGGTAGGCAAATGACTACCCCACCTGATGTTAGGTGGTGATAAAGTCCAAACGCGAAGATAGCTGGTACAGCAGTTATAAGCTGCTACACCAACCATCGCCACCTTCCCGGCCTGCAAAAATGCTTCTTCACGCCTCTCTTAAAGGACCCCAGATTGTAGGAAGGAAAGAACACGAGCGCGGGCAAAGAATTTCACTTACGAATAGTACGACAAAGAAATGAGTCATCAAATTTCTTTGTTGTTCGTGTAGGAATAGTGGCCACAGTAAGTAGAACTATCACTCTTCTATCCTGATGCTGGCACTTCACTTGGATATTTGTATTTGCTATTTGTAAACTCGACACCTATCTACCCTTTCCATTCCTTATAAAGCATGATAAGAAAAGACTAATGTCAAGTTTACAAATAGCAAATACGAATATCCAAGTGAAGTGCTGGCATGATAAAATCTACACCTTGAATATCATGCACAGAGTGTACTTCTATGTATAATATAATTATATTAAATAATATACATTAAATCAAGCAGTAATTTATCGCCAAAATCATAACGCCACAACACTGCAATCGATAGAATTAAACCACTTAACTCAGCGTACACCCTAAATTTAAAGTATAAAATGATCGTGTACAAAAATGATACAATGCAAAACCATGTTAAATTTTATATATTTTGTTCTTTTTAAACGGTTGTCTGTATTAGACAGTTCAATGTGACATTTCTTTTCATTATCATATTGCTTTCTTAGAGCATGGTTATCATGGTATATGCTTTAAGATTGCTGCTGCATGTACTCTTCAAATTTCATTATTATGTACTCCAAATGCCATAATGTTGTCAATAATATAGCAAAAAGAATCTTACTATAAATAATGCAAGTTTCAAAATTTATGTATCTTAACATTTTCGGTTATTAATTCATCTAATTTAAGCACATTTTTGTAAATAGTTACTTAAAATAAAAAGAAAGAAAAAAGCTATGTTACTTTATATATCACAGCAAACTATGTATTCGTCTTAGCTATATATATTATAATTGCTTATTGTTATAGAGTGTAATTTGGTGCTAACAAATTGATGAATATCAGTCCAAAATTAGATGTGTTGTGCGATTTGTAGTCTTACGGCCTGATACCCCGATGAGCTTGGTTTAATACGTCATTATTTTAATTAATTGATAAAAATGTTAACTCTTTGGTACGCTTATGTAAAAATATGTCTCATTTATTCATTGATCCGACATATATTTATTGTCTCATTTAAATAATCTTATTTTTTTGTAGGAATGGTTCCAGCGTATTCGAAGCAAGTGATATATGACAATTATTAAATTTTGATGTTTTAAGATCTGATATGATCTTTCTAATTTTTTATTATTTACAATTAAACTAAATATATTATGTAGTTTTTTTTTGTTAATTGAACCTTTGGTACACTGATACCTTTGGTCATTTGACAATGGATTCTAAAAAAGCAGATTCCTAAATAAAATCACTATCTAGTTATTTATGAGATTTGTTTCGATCTCAATACAAATTCTTGTCTTTTTGCGAAGTTTTTTGTACTTCTTATGTTTGTGTTGTGAATAAAAACTACAAATCGTCGTTGGTATCAGTTATAATGTGTCAACCTAATCGTTTTCAATTGGATTGGTGGAAATCAATGAAAGATTTTGGCGGGCCATGGCTTGTTTTCACTGTATAATACTGTCCATAGAGAAAGCCGTGGCTCCAGTAGTGGTTACTTTAGTAGGTTGATGATGATGGCTCACTTTTGCTAGTGTAAAATACACCGTTAATAACATATTTTTGACATTATTAATACTTATAATTTTTTATTATTTTTAAAGCATGTAACTGCTTGATGTTTATGATTGATTATTGATTATTAATACTGTTTTTTTAGAAATCTGGTAGATAAGAAATATCCAGTTAGATAATGAGAAATATCCATACATGACACTAGTCGTCCACGAAGTGATAAATATTGAAATTTGATAAAATAGGTAATCCTTCACCCATTAGAAAACAATATTGTTTTCTAGAGCTAAACATTTTTTTTTCTCGTGTTGTAAATTTATGATGTAATATAAATATGCGTATACTAAATATAACGTCAGTCACTCCGTGTATATTTTAAATAGATTAAGTGGGCTATATTATGTGGGTACATGGAGATTTCTCGATACTGCGCACGCCCTTGGCATAATTCATTTTGCGTACTTACTTTGTTTACATATCACGTTTCTGTAAAATTTTAATCATCATACTATGTGTAAATAAACGTTTTCGATTAAAATTATTGTGATTAATAAGTGCATGTAACGTCGACGCATCTCCAAGAGTCTTGTGCGCTTAGAAAACTTCCATTATGTCCTATTGTTTGTGGAACATTGGAAATGTAGTAGTGCCTTATTTAGATTTCATAATTCTTAATTATCTGTCTGAACAATTTATGAAGTACAAAAATATTTATTATGTTTTATGTGTGAATCCATTGTTTTTCACATTTACCAATTAGCACGCAAGTTGTCTTGAGTCAAAGTGAGGTTAATGATTTTTGAGATATTATCGCCTTTATAGCTACGTTCATAAGAGTAAAAAATGGGCGTGTAAATTACCTCAAAACAGCTACCATACAGCAGGTTATAGAGCTTGAGTGCTAAGAAGGTTGTAGAGACACGAAGTTTTCTGTGCACTAGACGAAACCCCCTATATAATGTGATATAAGTTTTTAAGTCATTTTTTTATTATGCTCAAAATTTGTTTTATCTCTTGATCTGTACTTATCATTAAAGAAATTTGTAAGACTGTATTTAGTTTTTTTGTGTAACATTGTTAATTAACTTCAGGTTATATAAATATAGTTATTTTGAGAATCCTTGTTTTTTATTTATTTATTATTTCTAGTGGGTGACAAATAAAACAATAGGATAGTTAAAAATAAATATTTAATTTTAAATTGATCGAATTAATATTCGCGAACGCGACCAGAGCTCGGGTCGATGTGACTAGACTGTACACTCAACATTTTCCATAATATATACGTAAACAATATTATTTCTGTACAAAACAGAAAAATAACACTTAGTCATAAATAAACGTTACATTTCTACTTATATGTAAATAATAAATTATATAAAGCTAATACTCGAGTATTAGATAAATTAAAATCCACCGAAAAATATAAACACACTGCCGGGATACAATAAGTGTAGCTTCCTAAAATTAATTTTGTTAGTCTTATTTTCGTTTCTAAGTCGAATATTCGATAGTTTTTTTTTTATTTAGTTCGGCGCCACCGTCTAACCGCCTTAAAGCCGTGGGTAAAATCAGTCAATAACAGGCGTAATATAGCAAATACACATCTTGGTGACGTTGTTATGATATTAGGGTTTCTTCGATTTGATAGTTGGACGGTATCGGTGATTTGCCATTATGTTGGGACTTGATGGTGTGTGCTAGAACTCCGCGTCGCCGAGGACGTGGTACATGAGGCGCTTGAACGAGTTGGATTGCTGGATGTGCTCTTCGTGTAGTGAGTTTACCTGCTTAATAAATATTACGCCATTAAAATGTGCTACACAGGATATTACCACGCTCGCATATGGAGGAGCTCGATGGCGCAGGTGGCTAGCGCATTCGATGAATGGGTGACCAAAAACTTATATCGAGCTCCTCCGTGCTTCGGAAGGCACGTTAAGTTGTTGGTCCCGGCTGCATCTGCAGTCGTTAGTACCCACCAATCTGCACTGGGCCTGCGTGTTGGGTCGGCCCAGTCTCGCATTCAATCCTTATAAGGCCTGTGCCCCAGCAGTGAGGACATTAATAGCCTGATAATGATATCATCACAGAAATTGATATTTGTCGCCTCAGCAGGTGCCATGAGCGGTATGAGTGGCGATTTGCTACATAGATGAAGCAGCGATGCTGATTGGTGTATGTCACTAGCCAATTTCATACAAAACAACGAGTTGAGACAGCCATGATTCATTTCTGTGCTGATGTCAGTTTTAAAACTTATGTCTAATCAGTATAAATCAAAACTCAAATAAAAAAACCTAATGTGTGATTAATTAATGGTAAGGTATTCAACAACTTTTAAAATACGATTTCACGTTATCTGCTAGTGTTTATGGAGTCCAAATAAAAAATTATATTTTCAAGTTGCCGCGAAAACGTTTTTCTGGACATTATGGCGTATTACTGGTGCATCACACGATCATTAAAACGCCAAACAATACAATGTAATGTCATTTTGGCCAGAAGTTTACTAGCGTGTGACGTCATGTTAGTCTTCGCCAATCCCAGGTGTTTTCGGTCACATTACCATATATTAAAAAATATATTTTTTAGAAAAGTTTTTAATTATTTGTTTTCTCAGAATAGTATACTCGCTGCTTATATTCATATTAAAAACAGATGCCAACAATTGGCTCTTTATTTTTAACCTGTCAAATAGCCTATTTTATAGTATCCTGTCCATGGACCAAAAGTTTTACTAGGGAGTTTCTCAAGCTAACGGACGGTACAATCAGCCAATTAGATTCCTGATCCCCCATAAGCTTATTTTGTTTTGCCTTTTCAAAACAATAAGGTAGATTTTAGCTTAAATGCCTGGAAACAAACTTGTTATTTTCTGAACAACTTTGTTTACAAGTTTTGACCATGGACTAAGGATTTCCCTAGTAGGTAGTTTACCAATGTTTTTTATGATGTCAAGAAATAGTTCCTGTTACATTTACGAAGTTATTTCGAAATTTCAACCATTATCAACGATATTAAAAATATTAAGTTTACTATTCCAATTTTATCTGTAACAAAATCTATTGCATTGAAAATAAAGTTCAAATTTTAAAGATTTTTGATCCATTTTTACTTTGTTTCCATGTTGTTAGAAGGTCCTAAGTGCAATTACGCAAAAACTTGTCTGTTTTGTCATGTTCGGGCAATTTCGTCAGGAATCAGTTGGTTCGATCGTACATTATCATCAAAATGTTAATTAGTCATAGGGTTTTAGAAAATACTCACATAGGTCGTTTGTTTTGCTTTCGGTTTCGCATCGTGTTGCTTTACAGGTTTCGGAGTTGGCGCTGGCCTCTATAAAACAAAGTAAGTGTTCAAAAATTAATTTAGAATGCTAATACCCAGCGACAATGTATTAAAAAAGAGACTTCGAAATTACTGAAACTCTTTAATGATATAGGAAAAAGGTCTACATGACCATTTACTATCAAAGCATTGTAAGCTCGCATATTTGTAATAAAAAAAATGTTAGGCACGCCATTGATATCTAATAAATAATCGGTTATATACAAAGACACACCTATAGCTTTTATTCTTATATAAGTAGCTAAAGCACTTGTGTTAATCATTATATAAGCCACTGGGATTCGAAACAATACGAAAAAGTTTGTTTATTACTACATTGTCCTGTTCGGGAATCGAACCCGGTACCGCGCCCTTTCTGGTCGGTTAGAAGAGTACTAATGATTGTATGAAAGTGATTTAACTAAAGCACATTGAATAGTCTAAAAACGTACGTTTAAATTCGCGTATTTGTAATCTGTAGAAAAAAGAATCCTCCAAATTTTATTATGTGAGGGAGATAGCAAACTGCTCCCACCACGCTGCCATTTGTTTTGAAAATACCATTATCTTTTTAATTTATTTATTTCCAATACTACATTTAAGTTTAAGGCACATATCAATCGCCATACTGTTTTCACAGTTTGTAGGCGTTGCGCTTATTTCCACTTAATAGACATCAATTTAATCACTTAAAACTCTACCTTCTGTTTTTATACCGATTTTAATATTTCTTTCACAATATACCATCTTTTCATTCAATAATAGACAACTACTGTTGCGTATAGGTGTGACAGTCTGGCAGGATTGTCCCGTAGATTAAGGATTAGAAATAAGTAATAAATTTACGATTATTCGAAAGACTTTTTGTTGAAAAGAAGAGAGGAGAACTGCACTAGTTTTAGCATAACAAGCCCTAGAGGGTCGGGAAGGAGCTCAATGGCGCAAGTGGTTAGCGTGTTCGGCTGCGATCGTTGAAGTTAAGCAACTTTCGCAATGGTCTGTTTGGATGGGTGACCAAAAATTTGCTATCTCGAGCTCCTCCGTGCTTCGGAAGGCACGTTAAGCCGTTTGTCCCGGCTGCATCTGCAGTTGTTAGCACCCACCAATCCGCACTGGGCCCGCGTTGTGGGTCATGGCCCAAACTTCCTATTCCATCTATAGGGAAGGCCTGTGCCCCAGCAGTGGGGACATTAATAGGCTGATGGTGAAGCCCTAAAGGGTGAGGAATAGCTAGCTATATTGGAGACGCACCTTGTTGGGCGGCGCGGTGAAGACCTTGGGCGTGACCGGCGTGGGCACCTCTTGCAGGGCGGGCGCGTCGAGCCCGTCCTCCTGCAGCGCGCGGTACGTCTCCGACTTGGCCGGGTCGTACGACACCGTGGGCTTGTGGCTACGTCCCCAGGCAGTCAGTCCGTATTAGTCGGTTAGAGGCCGCGCACAGAAATGTTAGCAAAGGGGCCGGGACGCGACAAAGGACCGTGGAAGCGGTGCGGGGAAGGTATAAGTTAGTGTTTATTTTTCAGGAAGGACAGGTCGATAAAAATACTAACATTAATCATGTAGAATAAGTTCCTTAAATTATTATATTTATTATAATATTAAAATTAATTAAATAAAATAAGATGGTGATTAAGACAGCTAGACTAGAATGTGGCGCGTGTGTGTTTCAAAGATTCGTCGCCGACGACCGACGATTTATTAAAAAAAAAAGAGTGAGAAGAGATCGTGAGTCGAAAAGTAAGATAGCGATAAATTATTATTATATTTGAAAATAAATAAGCATTAATGCGTCGTCATGAGATGGGCGTCGACTGTCGTTCTGGCGGCGTTTCTAGTAAAACACTTGCCTCTTGACCATGTGCGGCCGTCCGTAATGGCCGTTAGCGCTATGTGAGCAGACAAATAACTCATTATTATATTATAGATTTTTTTATTACATAAAATAAGTGAGTACCTCTCTTGTATAATGTAGCAATTGTAATTCACAAATATTTACAAGACGCATTGATGTGTGGAGCACAAAAAGCCAGGGGAATACTATGTTTCAAAATTACTCTTGGAACAAGATAATTTGTTATCAGAAAATATAAACTACGCGTACCTAAATACCAAATCAGAGAACCAAGTTCATTCAACAGAACTTATTTATGTACATGGTTAATTAAAAACAATGTTCTCTATCTTGTTCCAGAGTAACTAAACAGCTGCAAAGGGACTGCACAATAACATAAAAGTTTACTATTGTAGTATAATACTATGTACAAGTGTCTAACTAACAAACTTAGCTGTTTTTTTCGGCCACGGAACGTGGCGGCCATTTTACTTCGGTAACATTTTCAGTTTGGCAGCAAGCCATGTTTTTGTAATACCGTTGCCAAACTATTCATCACTAAACGCAAACTTGCGATAAAAGAACATTTTTGTATGGACTAGACTTGATTTTTTTAAGATTAATTTTGTAATGCATCTTCTAATGTTGTTTTATCAAAAAGCCTCAAATCATCATCAAATATTTATTTGGTATAATTAAAATACTCACGGTAACGGCGAAGATTGTTGCCTAATCGAGTTGGCGATGTTTTGGTCCGAATATAGATTGATTGGAGAGTTGAACTGCTTGTGCACCACCTGAAGCGAATAATATACGCGATTAATGAATGAACGCCACCCGATGTTACTACAACCATGAATGAAATGTTAGATTAGAGGTGGGGGTTTTACTATGAGCTAGTATTTCGATTCAAATCACTTGCCGCCTTATTCCAATACGCGGACTAAAGTTAGTCTAGGTTTAATCCTATGATGTCTCCGTATTCTTTTTAGCAAACAAAAGTGACAGCATCAATTTTTTGTCTTTTTTTTATAGTAAGGTACTTAGGCAAACGACTCTACCCCACCTGATGTTAAGTGGCGATAAAGTCCAAACGCGAGGCGAATTATATTTAGTATATTATTATTACATTAATTATAAATTATATTATTGTCAAGGTTTAACTTTACACTACGTTTTGTAATAAGGCGGTATATGTCGAATCGCTATACTAAAATAAACACGCTATTGACTGATTTTAGTTTGAATCACTTTTATAATGCTATCATAGTAAATAACCCATTTAAAAGGTATAAGCCGTATTCCTTGCTTTACTTGTAAGGAATTTTATGATACCTAATAAGGAACAGGTACTCATGATATTTTTGGAGTGCAAGAAATTGCTTAACATGTACAACAATACAAAAGAATATACATAGATGCACAAAAGCTCAAACAAATGACGTATAGACACATGAGAGTAAGAAATATGCTTACGATCCATTACAAGCATGATAATATAATTAGTGCCAGTCAATAATTATTTTATACACAAAAGAAAATGGGATGATTTTTTATATGGTGACTTAGGTTTTTTTTATTCCCCAAAATGCTCTTGGTTAAATTAGTTTGCATTTAACCAATTTCCATTTAATTCTTTTAGTTCAGTTAACAAATATAAGTTGGAATCAGATTATGTATTTTTTAATTTTTTTAAAATAAATTTATTTTGAATGTTCCGAAACCAGATCTGATTTTTATTAGCAGGAAACGCTTTTAGAGTATAGAAATAATAGTAAAAAAGTACTTTCTTATACTACAAATTGAATTAACAAATGAAAAACTGAATTCCTTTTTTAAAAACACATAGCTCAAAAATCTTTTCAGACACGGTTTGCAGTGGATCACAAGCTTTATCGGCTCCGTATAGGAAGTTTGCCTGCATGATGTATGCAATGCATGCTAGAAAGAAGAAGCTGTCACACAATCGTATGGAGAACCACCTTGTTTCCCTCATCTCCGACCACTCGCTGCAGCATCGACTCGGCCACCTGAGTTATTATTAAACAATCTATTTATTATGTTGTGCTAACGTGCGCTGGTGCATCAGTGACCATGTTAATAAAGTAAGTACTTTGAAAATCTTCCTTTTGATATAACTACTGAGATTCTAATAGTATTAACTAATCGCAGATATAATGTTGATATCAACGAATTAGAAATGATAAAGAAGCATTACTCTCTAAAATATGGTTCAGGATTCCTACAACTAAACTTCAATACTAACGTGACACGCTTATAGACAAAACAGAATATCTGCAAATGAATTCGGCTAAGTTCAAGTGGCTAATAGTTAAGTTAATGTTAAACGGAAATCCTAACCAATCACATGATCGGCGTGTTGATCGCATTTTTTACTCTCCGCCCACTTGATCGCAGTTAGCGTGGAACCACTGTTTAGCGTAGTTCGTATTCTAAATGATTGCTAATTCGGTGGTTGATATCTTCTTTATAAGCTGCTCTTCTGAATTTTGCGAATGGAATTTGGCAGTAAAAATTAAGAAATCTAAATGCTAAAGTAATTTTATAGGGTAGTTAATAAATAATATTGGTAGTGCAAAACACTGTTTTAAGCGTGTAGTAGTGTGAATTTGTGGCGTGCAATGAGATACTATTAAAAATTCAATAATAACTTACCAGTGGGACTACTTATGTGGCAAATTAGCAATAAAAAGTACAAATTCTTCTGGCCCTTCGAGCTGATTATCTACTTTATTTGTTTTAAATTTTATTCGAGAGTAGAAACCACAAGTCTATACAAGAATACAGGTAGTTACTCTATTTTTAGAGTTTACACATTGCATATTTTATTGCTGTACCGATACCTTTCGGTCGTGCATATTACTGCTTTCTTTAATATGTGTGTGTGTGTGTTTGTATGTGTATGTGTATGTATGTGTGGACTAGTGGGCACAATGGTTTTGAGCAACTGTTCTAAGATTAGTATTGTATCTGTTCCGTTAGATAGTGGGATCTACATACAACTAATCTAGCAAACCGATTTTAAGAGTACTTATTTAATAAGTATCTTCTAAAGAAAATTTTTCACTAGTGTTCCGTTTTAAATCTCTGCATCAGCTCCCTTTCATTCTATTAAGAACGTGATTTGTACGGGGCAAAGAACTTGATCTTTCAATTTTAAATTGATTGTGGTTTTTAACAGTCTCCTAGTCTAAAGATTTTGTTGTTTTGTGTCTATTGTACTAGTAGTAACCACCGACCTTCTGCTTCATTAGGGTATCGCGGTAGTCGTGGTGGGGCGGCGCCCTCATGGATGGGTTGGGGTGGTGGCGCAGGTAGCTCTCGGTGGGGCCGGGCTCGCGGCGCACCTTCGCCCCAGGCAGCACCAGGGGCGTCGTGCGGTAGGGCTGTAGGGGGACAAGAGTGATAGTTAAAAAACTGTTACTACGATGAAGACTGAAAACAATAGTCAACTAAATAAAAAAAAATGAGTCTGTTATTAAATGTCTAATGTCTGATTGTTTACATCGAAAAATAATCAGAAACCTCATTTTTATTCAAAATAGTTTGCTTTTGTACTTTATACAATGATAAATAAAAATGTATGATTTTTTTAAAAGGCCGAGGCACTACTGCTTTTAATAAACAAAAAAAAGGAGTGTAGAATGATATCGGGTATTGAACAGGAAGTAGAAGAGCTGGCGCACCAGCCTCACTGTGGTTTTGCGGTGCATAATTAAGCACACTTAGAATTAAATATTACTTTTTAAAATTTAATAGTAGCTTTAAAGATAAATATGAAATGTACCATTTAGTAGGACAGGCCAGGTAAAGTTGAGTAAAGTGATATTGTTTTGGCAGTACACCTACATAACAACGAAGCGGAACGAACCTATTGTCGCTCTCGGTATGGCCCACGCTTTACAACCAAAATTTCTTATTAGAATTATTCTACTTTTTCTTCTTTTTTCTTTTTAAGTTTCGTTTTTGCGATAATGATACTTACTGCCGCATTCAAAGACGACTGATTGATTAATTTCAAAACTTAGCAAAGTAACGCGTTATTTTCTTGATTGCTATCGAAAAGAAGGTAACGGCATCAACTTTAATCGGACTTACAGATAACGAGTAACCACTAACGAGCACTGCTATAACTAAAGAATATAAACAAAGTTATTGTTAAATGTCGACAGCTTGGCAGTTGACGGTATGTACGGTACGTAGTTACTGAAGTATTCTTGGAACACATGAAAATTTTTGTGTCTGCTTTTGAAATCTCACACGTTGGAATTCAAGGTTCGTAGCCGTGGCAGGCGACATCAGTAGAAGTTCAGCGACCTCTCAAGGATTAATTTTTTTAGACTAAAAATGTCAAGGCGAGTACATTACATACCCATGGATGCCATTCAAAGCACTATGTGAATTTTCAGAACTTTTGTTATGAAAGAAAAACCTACAACTTTTCAAGGAGGATGATGGTGCGACGGGTATGGTAGAGAGATAATGGAGATTGTCCCGAGACTAAAAAAGTGTCTTTTTTTGCTCTCTGACCGCATGTCTCGACATAATTGACATGCCAAAGAAGACACTACAAAAAGCTGATTGGCCAAGTAAAAAGGAATTTGGATCTTCAGCGTTGAAAAACATAATAGGTTGCACAGTCACGTTTAAAAATATGTATCTATACAAAGATAGGAAGGTAACATTAGCGCTTGCTTTATTCTCGTTGGAATAAGTGTAGCGAACATATTTATACACGTGACCTAATGTTAAACACATAATAAACACTGGAATTACAGCCACATTCTCATGAAAGAAACGAAGCACTTGTACCTACACGTGCAAGCGCAGAGCGCGCGCCATCTAATAATACCGCGAGGTTGTTCCATGTGGGTTATGATTTCTGACACTATTTCGTTATATTAATAAGATCGTATCATACGTATGTGGGTCGTGGTCAACATTGAAAGATATAAAATCGCTCCCTGAACGTCTTCGCCAATGTCGCCAGAATAAAACAGAGTGATTTAAATTCCTCTCAGATAGGCTGCTCGTGCTGGTAAATATGAAATGTTCCAGATTTTATGAAGAAGTTTTACTCATAAATTACCTTGTTATTTTTAAAGCGTATATAAGTTTTTTCAAATGCTACTTGCAAAAATATTATGATTGGAGTAAATTAGCTTGTGTTATCAGCTTCTTATGTTCCTGTAAGTCGGAAATCACTGTAACTTTTAACCTTTTCAATACTACACCAGTAAAATATTTAAACATATTATTAAATATTTGAAAGTCCTATATGCTTTTATATAGATGGTTTCGACCCAGAGAAAATCGTTGAAAGAACATTTAAGAGAGTGTTTTATAGAGCAACACGGAGCGCGAGAAAGGCCGCGCGAATAGGACTGGTAAGTTCCAAAAACCCCTTAGTAGGCTAAACTACTCGTCGGTTTTTGGAACTTTCCACATTTCCAGCAAGTTATATACATACATACATTAAACATATTATATTTAGACGTCCATTGATTATTCCGAAGGAAGCTAAGAAAGTGTTCTTGAATCATAGCAAATGCTAAGATACAGATCAGTTATCTCTGTTAGCCCCCACTGGGCGGCATGCGTGACTGTACGTACGATATGACTAGAATTTAGTATATGTTGTAATTTCTACCCATTTCAGTGCTTTTATTCTTATCATTAGGTATGGCAAGTCCATACCTAATGATAATTCTAATTTGAATGAAGTACAAAAATACACCATTGATAATTGCAATTTATTATCATGTTGCCACGCTCTAATATGCAGGGCTTTTGTTAGGTTTGCAGTGCCAAACATGTTTGACTTCTTTCAGTCATGTGCAGCCAAATATTTATGCGTCCCGCTTATCCTGCTTTTGGGAAGCTTGTTTTAGGTCTGTGTGTTGCGCTGCTCTCTTACAACAGAGCGAGGGAGAAATAGAGGATAATGTCCGGTTTTTAGGCATACTCGTTTTGCCCAATTCCACTCCATGTCCGGATTTTGTATTTTAGAAGATGGCAACCCTGCCTAGGCTACATTTGGAAAGTCGCTTTAAACATATCTCGCTTACACATCAAAAGAACACACACGAATGTTGTAAAACAGCTGTAATAACGTTGTTGAATGCTGTGTAATGAATGATTGGTGATTCACGCGGAAAAGACATTACTTTGCCCGAATGTTTGAACAAAATTGTGCCAATAGTTGATAGCTTTAGTGATTATTTGTGTCCGTGTTTACGAATCCGAAGCTTTCGCTTCTGACGCATGCTCTATCTTAGTCATAGCTTCTTGTAATAGGACTGTGGAAATAGGAAACAAAATAAATTGCATTTGCTGTCGTAAAATTAGTTATGACGGGTACAAATACTGCATAATAGTGCATAATATTTTACTATAACGCATTTTAAAAAAGCATGATTCTGTATTCGTAGTAAATTTTAATTCACCTCTGTCTCTTGACCACTTTTGAATTTTAAATTTTATACTTATGGGACACAATTTTTACCATTTATTTTCAATTTGTTACCCAAACCACAGTAATAAGTTTCTGTGCAGCATATCGACATAATAAATACTTAAGTAGGTGCTATCCGGAGGAATCACTTTAAATTTAAATAAAATATTATTGAGTAGTAAAAATTTTACATATAAAAACAGCCCAGTTTTAAAATTAGCAAGTTATAATGTAACATGTTACAGTCTCACTGAAAGTTCAAGTGGGTGTAAAAAATTTTGTTACGTGACATTGAGGCAAAAATAGACGTACACGGCTGCGAATTCATATCAGCAGGAGTGTTATTAATTTCTTGGTGGAAATGGGGTAATGGAATGATATAAGTGTCTGGAAATCAGGACAGTCCATGGATTTTTCCATTCTAAGGAAACACCATTGCTAAATAAATAAATCTAGTAGAATAATATTGGAAATATTAGGAAAATCTTTGATTTTTTCGCCTAGTTTCGTATCTTTTTGGTAGAGGTATTTTTTTAGTATATTTACTAAACTATTTGTATCAAAGTTATGAGTACTGATTTAATTATTTATTTTTGGGCCCTAACAAATGTAGTTTATTGATGTACTTCTTAATTTATGGTTCACTGAATTAAGGCACTTTGCATGTCCACAATTTTTTAAATTATTCAAATCATGCGGAAGCTTGCCAACAAAAAGTTATGTATTTATTTAGCAACATTGTCTCGCAACACGTGTCATTCAACATTACATAGCGTCGTTGCACAAAAGCTCGCGTGACGTCATAAGTGTGCGTCTTCATTGAAAACAAATGACAGATATTTTATTTTTAAATAAACTGTGATAAATTCATAAAGAAGGGACACCTACATCAGCAAACAAAAAAATATTACACGGTGTTGTAGAGTAACATGTTAACTAAATAATAATAACAATAAATTTTGTACAAAATCTAATAATTATTATTATTTAATCCCCAAGAAAACGGAACTTGCTCGATGGAAACTAAGAAACGAACGAATCTAAACCATGAACTATAAAGAGAAAAAAATTATTAGGCTTCATCAAAAAAAAAATGCCGCTACCGGAGTTCGAACCCATTACCAGAAAGGTTATAAAATTGAAAACTGGATAGCAGAGGCAGCATTCGTCCTTATTTCAAAAAAATCAAATCACCCACTTATTTTAAAAGTTATTGGAAACTGAAGTGCTCTAATTAAGGCAAATTTGATCGAAAGTACATATAGGTACTTACACTTGCAAGAGATATAATTTGCAATGAATTGGTTTAAAACAATTAACTAGTTGTCCGTTAAATTAATGCATATCTACGCAGATGCACATAATTCAGAATTGTTGTAATATTTTGGACTTCAGATTTGTAACAAGATTTGATATTTAATTTTGATAATTATTACACTACTTGCTTGTGATCTTGGAAACAAAATGGGCACAAACAAATAAACCAAATGTAAAAAAAGAAACTAAGATATTTTTTAGGATAATTACATAAAAAACTGAGTTGCTCAGCAGCATACAAAATTAGATGTGAGAATATTTTCTAGGGATATTTCTTAGTATAAATCAGTACTTATCCTTATTAAAACTAAAAGAGGCATGTCTCATTTTTGTGTTGTGATTTGTTTTATTAGTTATATTTTCAGATAAATATGGTAACCTAATATTTATTCATTGTTTTTTTTTCAAACAATTTATACTTTGTAATATTATAATATCTTAAGTCTGATACTTAGTAGCTTAACCTTAATTACATGTTTTGAAATTATGTTTTTAATGTAGGTTAAAATACAAATCTTCAAAGTTCATAATAACTGTGATTTGGTTTGAGTTAATGTTTTATTTAAGTATCACTAATGGTAGGTATATTATCAAAAAAATTAACTGCGATAAATA